TTTTTTATGGTGTGGGGTTGAATTTCAGATTAAGTAAAATGGGGGGAGGCAATGGTAAGGAGCACTCTTAACTTCCACATACTTAAAACATTATTAAAGAGGAAAATGAAATAATACTTGGAAATCTCAAAGCACTCAAATTTTTACCTAATTAAGCTTTTTACCCCCCACGCAGTAAGTACTCCTTTAGCCATACAGGTGACATTCTAAGAATTTCTAAGGAGGTTGTATTCTCAGTACCACAGAGCTCAAATTACACAGTTTCTAAAGGAAATGCATGCGGTGCCATTCCAGCAGGACTTCCAATGAGTCACCCTCTAATTTCTCCCAAACAGACATGGTGTAACATCATTGTTATTTTATGTAATTCTTTTCACTACCAGACTATGATTTTTCAAATTATTGTTAATGATTCCAACTGAAAACTTGTTTAAGGCATTTGTATCTATTTCCTTCTAATTTGTGTGAGTTCATGTTTCAATTGCTTGAATTCAGATCCTGTTTACTCCACGCAGGTTTCTGGGCTAGAAGGCAGGGCAGATGTGGACAAAGTGGTGATTTGTGATGACCTAATTATTTATATGAATAGCCTGGATTCTTGGGGCTTTGCCCAGAATCTAGGGTTAAGTTGTTACACTTTAAATTCTATTTATATATAATGGTGATGTAGGTGACAGTATTTGTTTCCTTATTGTACTAAGTGACCTTGAATTTTAATCTTTCCATTTGGGGTTTTGGTTGTCTTCTTGAGCATAATACAGTACTGTTTTCTTTGTCCTATTCTTTACAGAAACTGACCAAATGCCAGAGGTTACATGATACAAAAATAGTTTGCTTATAAAAATAAATCACTTGCATGTAAAACAATTTGCATAATTTATGTAATTTGCTTGTACAAGTTTTCATAATAAACTAAAATGCAGGGAAACCTAAATTGGCTTTTGGGTATAAAATAAAATTCCTTCTATGAGTTCTTGACTACTGATATCAGAGAAGTAAAAGAGAAAAAAAAATTATTCATGTTCATTTCTTTCAGAAATAACATTTTTTGTAGGGGCTTTTCTAATTACAAAAACAGTGCAAATAATTGCCCCAAAAATGTGAGAAATATTTAAGAATACTAAGATGGTTACATTTTAATATAACATTTTCAGAGATTTTTTTTTAGGCCAGCCAATGCATTTTTAAGTCCGGTATCTCAGCTAAATGATCTAATAATACTGATTTGATTTTTTTTTTTAATGAGCTAAATCAGCCTCTTATTTGCTTCCCAGCCAGAATATATACAGCTGTGGTAATAAATACCAGTAAATACTTCACTCTTGAAATTGAATATGTGGTATCCCCAGGAAGAATTCTAAATTGAGCCGTCATTGCTAAAGACTTTCATTTATTTTGGTATATTTGTATACGCTATGGCCAGCTTGCATACAAACTGATGCAATATATAGGTGCAATATAAGATTATATTGACCTTTCTCCCTTTGGTTTTAGGCTTCTGGAACTTTTTTGTGGTGAGGATTGATAAAAGTGTCACTAAAAATATATATAAGTAGGAAATATTTGTTTTTTTCTGTAAAGATTTGAAGCTCTCATTGTTGGAGAGAGATTACTGCAGCGACTTTTATCACTGTTTAGGAAAGAATTAAATTTAAAGTGTTTGCTGTACACTTTTGGAAACAACTTCAACACAGAAGAAAACAAGTCTAGAAATCATGTTTACTGCTACTTTTCTAATATTCTTAACCACTGAACTTACAAGTCATGGTAGCCTTATTTTAACAGTATCTTAAGAGGAACAAAAAATTTCCTGGTATAGCAATTATCACCTGCGGATGGCCTAAAATTAGCATATTGAGTTAACTCCAGAAACAGCTTGTGAGCTGTGAAATGGAGTTCAGAGAGATAGTGAAATTTCACAGAAACGCTTGGTATATGGTATAAATAACCAGACCAGTCGATGCCTACAAAGTAAAATGAAACTACTAATAGCTTAGTTAAAATATCCTATGTAAAACTTGATGTCAAAGAGAATTTAATTTGATGTGAACATAGTGAAGCCTCTCTGCTTATGCATAGAATTTTTTTTTGCTTATGCATAGAATTTTAAGAATTATTTGTATACACCTACACAAACAAAGAAGGCTTGAAGCTGAATTTATGATGACTTATAATCTGATTGGGAGAAAAGAGAATTTAAGTATAGATGAAGATGTTAATCAGGTTTATAAAAGCATGCAGATTTCAAGTTAACTTTTCTCAGGCTTTTCAGTGTTATTATTTGACAGATCAAAAAAGATGTTCCATTCTTTGGCAAGGAGAAATAGTTTAGAGCCAGAATTTAAAAGGAGAAGCAAATGAACAATGCAAAAGAATTTAAATTTTTCATGAGAGGACTTGATGGATTATTTGGTCATTGGGCATCTGGCAAGTATTTCTGGCCCTTTAATAGCTAGGCATCAAAAACACTGCTTCTGAAAAAAAAAAAGAAGAAGAAGAAGGTAGCGGGAGGGGAAGAATGAAGCGGGGGAAATCAGAGGGGTAGACGAACCAGGAGAGACGATGGACTCTGAAAAACAAACTGAGGGTTCTAGAGGGGAGGGGGTGGGAGGATGGGTTAGCCTGGTGGTGGGTATTGAGGAGGGCACATTCTGCATGGAGCACTGGGTGTTGTGCACAAACAATGAATCATGGAACACTACATCTAAAACTAATGATGTAATGTATGGGGATTAACATAAGAATAAAAAAAAAAACACTGCTTCTTCCTCTTTGTGTTAAGTTACTTAAACTTGAGTTGTTGTTGTTTTTTTTTAAAGATTATTTAAGAGTGCAAGAGCGAGTGAGCATGCATGTGCAAGAAGGGGGAGGAGCAGAGGGAGAGGGAGAGAGGGACAAGCAGACTCCACGCTGAGTGTGGAGCCTGGCATGGGGCTCGATCCCACAAGCGTGAGATCATGACCTGAGCCGAAATCAAGTTAGATGTTCGAGTGACTGAGCCACCCAGGTGCCCCTAAACTTGAGTTTTAATTCATATGTATAAAGGATAAATATTGGTGCCGCTTTTGTAGCACACATACTAAAATTGGAATCATAATGGAGAGTAGCATGGCCCATACGCAAAGATGACCCAGAAACGCATGCAGCTTTCCATAATTTTGATGTTAGCTTATTGTGGTAATCCTTTTGCAGTATATACGTACATCAAATTATTATGCTGTACAGCTTAAACTAACACAGTGTTCTGTGTCAGTTGTATCTTTCTAAAACTGGGAGGGGGAGGATATATTGTGAACATGTCCATACATCGAAGACCATCCAGAAAATATTTAATGTTTAGCTATTAATGTGGTTTTATAAGTAAGATTCTATTTTATGGGGTTTTATTTTGTCTCTGATCGTGGATAATTTTTTGCCATTCAGAAAGGAAACATTTAATGTATGACATGCACACAGTGTAAGGGAAAAAATAGCTCCCATGCATGCATTTATATTTCTTCAATACCCCAGCTAAAGTGATATTTCTTATTGGATTATGTTTAGGAGTATAAATTTATGTCTTGGAAAAAAATCTGAATTGAACTTTACAACTCTGCACAACTGTTAATAATAGTCATATAGTTCTGAGATCCCTGGTCAGAATAAAAGAATCCATTAACGGATTTTGTAGATTTTCCTGGGAGTTTTCTGGGTTGATCGCTGCCTACAAATCCCATCCCTTCTTTCCTTTTGTGTAGGAGGACCAATCAGTGGCTACCCCAGTGAACTGAAGAGTTAGCTACTCTTCGGTTAACAAGTCTCATTTCCTGGTATAGATGCATGTACACACGTACACACACACACACACACACACGTGCGTGCACACTCACAGGCATACATCCCTGCCATTGGGCAAGAACATGTTTATTATCAGTCTTTGTACCCTGTTTCTGGTGGTTTCAGGACTTGGAGGACTGAATGATCGCTCCTCTCCGTGGAGTGCTTGGGGACCTCTTACGTTAGCTAACCATTATGGTCCCCTGAGGAAATGTGCTAAATAAAAAATGTTTTCAGATTTTGCTAGGAATGCATATAATATATCCTTACAATAAAATACTCTACAACGGTTAATATAAGTACGTCTGTTTGTGCTAGCGTGGGAAACTGCCCATGATGAGGTATGATACGCACATTGCATGACATATATAACAGGATGCCCATGAATTTCTTTATAAGCTCTGTTCAGTAAAAGGTTTTTGTAAATGCATCACTTCTATGGCATACATTGTAGTTTCTTGCAGCTGTTTGCCTTTTTGTATTCTATTCCTTCTACTAGAATATTTTTTTGGCCTGATGAATTCCTTTTTATTCTTTCAGAACTTAACTGAAATATAATCTGTGAAGCTCTAGACCTGACTCCCCAGACATAACTAGTTTTTCTCCGAAGCATTAGTGCCCTCTGTTCTTACCTCTATTGTACCACTCATAATATGTCTTATAATGATTTGTTTATATGTACATCTGTTCTCCGGCTAGGTAGTGAGCTCCTGTCAGCCAGCCTAGGTTCGAGTACATAACATGGCCTCGACAAAACAGAAAAATGTCTCTTTATCACTTCATGTTGCTCGGGCCATAAGGTGATGTGCATAGAACATTTTGAGAGCTCTTTTTTCTCCTGGGTTTGATAAAGTAACATCCACTGTATTTTGTGATTCCAGTTCTTTAACTCATTCATATGATTATTAAGATTTTTTTTTTAAACTTCATTCAGGGGCGCCTGCGTAGCTCAGTGGGTTAAGCATCTGACTTTGGCTCAGGTCATGATCCCGGGATCCTGGGATTGAGCTCCACTCCAGGCTCTCTGCTCAGCAGGGAGTCAGCTTCTCCCTTTATCTCTCGTCCTGCCCGTGATCTCTCTTTCTCTTTCTCTCTCTCAAATAAATAAATAAAATCTTTAAAAATATTTAAAAAATTAAAAACTTCATTGAAGGATAATTTATAAACCATAAAGTTCATCCACTTTAAGTATATAATTAAATGGTAAAGAAATTCAGAGTTGTGTAATCGTCACTAAGTCCAATTTTAGAACAATTCCATTACCCCAAGAGTATCCCCTCTGAGGTATTTTTCAATATTGATGGAACTATCCATAAACTTGTGTTGTGGGTTGAACTTGATGACCTCAAACTTTGTCATTATTTTTGGCTCTAAACTGTGTCAGGCACGACATGCTTAAAGGAGGCCTACATACGTAGTGGCACTACATGCTGAAAGAATAGTGCATGCTGGCAGTGAGGTACGCCAGTTTCTCTTCAGAGGCTTGCTGTGTGACGAGCTCTGCGCTGGGTCCATTGTATACATGACCTCATTTGAGATTCAGAATAGAATAACCTGTAATGTAGATGCCTTCTTTATTTAATCCCTACGTACTCTGCAGGGAAGGAAGTAACTCAAGGTCACACCACTGGTAAGTGGAAGGGCTGGGATTTGCACTTGGACCTGACTGTGTCCCACACTTGCCTGAACATTCAGTGGCTATATATTGAGCAATTATGGTGTGTTCCCATAAAAAGGCACATCTTAGGAAACATGTAAGCAAGTTTAAAGAGTTACTTAATCTGAAAACGGGGGAGGTAGCTACAGTGTTGAAAGGATCAGTTCTGAAATGAGCTTTTTCTCTGGCTTGGCTCCATCTGGTTTGGTTTGAGGCCCTGTGGGCGTATCCTGAATTGGGTCAGCAAACCTAGAAAGAGAATAAACAGGACCATGTTGTAAAAACTGTAAAATACCGAAGCCACGTGGGTTGTCAGCATCATCTCTGATTGAGTTTGCTTTGGGGATTATTTCATCTTTCAGTCTTAAAATGTTACCATCGCTTGGTTTTTGTTAACACAAATGGTTGATTTTATTAGTTAAGAGTTGTGGTTTGGCTGCTCTAACAGAGACCTAGCAGTGGCTTAAAATAGAAATGTATTTTTCTCTCAGATAAAAAGCTGGGTAGGTAATCAAGGTTTGGCATAGTAGTTCCCCTGTCTTTAGGGAACCTGCCTCTTTATCTCGTTGCTCTGCCCCCATTATCGCACGGCTCTCATCTTGGGGTTTAAGCGGGTTGTTTTAGCTCCTTCCACCACATCTCTCCAGCCACCAGGAGGAGGACATGTTTTTCTCTCCTTTAAGGCCATGACCAAGAAGTTGCTTGTGTAACTTCCAATCACATCTTGTGCTACAGAACGTAGAGAGCACATGCCCCTCATTCTGCGAAGACGACTTCAATATGAAAAACGTAGACTTGTATGTAAGGAGGGAGATATGGAATGCTTTAGGCCAAACTCTTTCTCAGTATTTCTTTTTTTTTTTTTTTAATCTGGGCCAGAAGATTCGGCCAAATCCAGAAACTTCTGTCGACATGATTCCCCCAGGCTTTGAAGACTTTTTTTTTTTCTCGTCAAGGTTTTTTTGTTGGGTTTTTTTTATGTTGTTAGTCACCATACATTACATCATTGGTTTTTGATGTGGTGATCCACGATCCATTGTTTTCGTATAACACCCAGTGCTCCATGCAGTACGTGCCCTCCTTAATACCCATCACTGGGCTAACCAATCCCCCCTCCCCCCTCCCCTCTAAAACCCTGTTTCTCAGAGTCCGCAGTCTCTCATGGTTCATCTCTCCCTCCAACCCCCGCCCCCCATTTTTCCCTTCCTTCTCCTAATGTCCTCCATGAAGACACTCCTTTGTCTGTTTCGAAGTTGGCAGTGTGTCAGTCTATCTTTCATGATGTAGTGTCAGTTTGAACTTGTTTTTCCTGGAAAAGTATATGCAGCAGCTCCTGGCTTGACGTCTGGGTTGGGAGCACTGCATATCAGATTTTACCTTGGTAAAGCTGAATACATTTTCTTTCTCCAAAATATTGCTAGGAAAAAAATTTATTTTATCAGAGTACTGTTTTCATTAAGACATGGTAGTATTCAAGATAAAACACTTAAAATTCCTGTTTGGCATGCATGCCAACTTTTCTGTGACAAGGCAGCATTTGCTTCTTAGAAAATTGATGACACCTGCAAATCAAGAATTCATGTTCTAACCTCAGTACTTAACTAAGACGTGGCCTTGACTAAGCCAGTAGATATCTTAACTTTTCTTAGTTAATAATATCTTAAAACAGAGTTTAGAAGTAGACTCTCTCATCATATTATATGTACTTTTTTAAAGGTGTTATTTATTTATTTGAGATAGCGAGAGAGAGCAGGAACAGGGGAGCAGAGGGAGAGGGAGAAGCAGACTCCCCACTGAGCAGGGAGCCCGACGTGGGGCTTGATCCCAGGACCCCAGGATCATGACCTGAGCCGTAGGCAGACACTTAACCCACTGGGCCACCCAGGCACCTTCTATTATGTGTATTTAATCAACAATTACGAGGCCCTTTGAAAATGCAGGTGTCATTTTTCTTTGTTGTTGCTTTCGAGAGATCACAGATAACCTTAACTTTCTTTAAGGATGGGTTTTACTCACAGCCAGCTAGACCAACAAGGGAAATGTGAAGATACACTTAACATTCGCCAACCTGTCACTTTAGGGCATTCTTCTAAAGGCTTTTTTGATAGGAAAAGATCGTTTGAGCACTTAAAATTAGAAATCTTAAGTAATCTTGGTTCGCAGATATTTCTTTTAATAATGTATGTCCCTTTCCAGGAGTACATTTTGGGAGACTAGAGCTCACTGTAAGTCCTTAATTATTTGAAAATCTCTGTGCCAGTATTATGTTTCAGGCAAGGCTACTTTTAGCCAAGTTTACTGAAAGTATTCCCAGTGTTATCTCCAGTGATTTCATCTGATTCCTTTTTATGCACTCTTGACACAGCCAAATTATGTAGAGTATATAAAACAAACTGCTGTCTGTAGAGTGGTGAGTGGTTTCGTGATTCCCTTCTGTTTTGAGTGGGTGGCTTCTCTCCACTCTTTATCTGTTACCCGTATCCTCAGCCATCACGAATGTTTTGTTTTCTCTTTTGCAGATGACACGATTGGTGCTGCCTGGTATGGTGGAAAGGTGAGTCACGAGCTCACACACAAACACTAGAGAGACAGAGCTCATGATTATTTATAGGGAGAATCCTTTCTTTGCAAAATTCATTGAAGTGACTAATGAACCTATCATCCATGTCTTAGCAACAGAGTAATGTGCCTGGCGAGTCACACAGTGGAGTATGAATCATCCGGTGGTGGAGGCCTTTTCCACTCGATTCCCTTTTTATTTCCCTCTCCAGGGTTGTGGTGGTTCCTTTAGATCAGGATTAAAAAGTCTGCCTGAGTCACCATCACCAACTCAATTGCCTGCTATTCTGAGGGGGCGGATAGAGTTCCTGGGGTATTCCCCGGAATGCCTTCTTAAAGCTATATGCGCTCAGAACTAAAATCAGTGGAGTTTCACAAAGCAAGACCCCATCTTCTGGTTGTTTAGTTCTTAATGGGTGAATGGATATATGAGGAACTTAGGCATGTTCTATATAAAATGGTTATAAGATGTCAAACCCACCCTTAGAGCAGAAACCCACACCATGGAGCCCCCTTTGTGTTCTGATTTGAGTTGGGTTCCACTAGGATATATGCTGGGTGTCTTCATTTTCATTGAGAAATGTGTCATAGAGTTTCTTCTTGAAATAGCATGAAGTGTAAAATTGTAATTAAGCTCTGTTTCTCCCTTGGAAAAGCCTGAATGATGTCTAGGCTTTCAAAAGAAACCTGTTGAAAAGATCTGGGCTTGCATCTTGAGCTAGCTTGATCGTTTGCTAAATTTAGGGCTTCACAGTCACCCTTCCTCTGCAAAACAGCTTTGAGTTTGGAAGAGATCCAAAGGAATCACAGCTTCGGAAAGGGCAGAGCCCAAAGACCTTACTCCTGTGAAGAAACCTCTATGACCAGCTTCGGGCAGGGTTGACAGCTAATGTTTATTGAGAACCTATTACATGCCAAGTGTTGTATGGAGGACTTGATGTGTGTTAACTCATTTAACTTTGATAGCCTTCCACCATTGTACGGAGAAGGAAGCGAGGTTAGGAATCCATTTTGTTTGGCATCTACAGAGACTTGTGGAGAAACTGCTTCTTTGCAGTTTTTGTTTGTAATTCCATTTTATATGAAGTTTGGTATATTTCAATCCCTTTAGTAAAATTTCCCTTTAAACCCTCAGACTGCTTCGTGTTGGTTGATAGTGGGAGTGTGCCCCTGATGGTCAGATATGGAAGTGAACAGACAGTGGTCTAACCAGACAGAACTCTAAGAGATTACAGAGAATTGGGGCTGACAGGGTAGAACCCAGGAGGGATGAAATTTTGGCCATCATCTTAATCCAGTTTTGATATCTGCCAGTAACTTGTACTAATTCAGGACAGTAAGTCCATCCATTAAAAACAAAATACTTATAAACCACGGAAGTGTTGGAAAAGGAATTTTTAAGTGTGTTGGTGAAAACCATATCAAAAGAGATGATGGTTGTGAAGTAATCTTGCAGATCATAATGGATTTAAATAGTCATGGAATTTTAGTACTTTAAGTAATTGAAACCAGCACCCCCCCCCCACTTGATAGAAAGTGAGTCCCAAAGAGATTGAGCGCCATGAAGCTTCATGATTAGTTAGTAAATGATACGAACATAGGGTGCCAGGAACTTCACTCCTATCTTTAGAGACCTAGCAGCCATGATCTCAGTTCTAGCTGGAGCATTAGATAAAAACAATGCAAAGAAGAGGTTCCATTCATTCAGCAGGCACTCACTGAGTAGAGTTTATCATGGGGTATACAGAAGATGAACTGGATCTTTGCCTTTAGGAAATCAAGTTGATTTTAAACTAAAGTTGAGAAATGATCTGGTGAAAAGCCGTCATAGGCTATGGACTGAAACTGACACCATGAGGGTGATTGTGGCACTTGCTAAGAACCAGTAAGAAATATAAGTAGACTTTATAAATCCGTACTTTCGGTTAGGAAAGGGAACAGCGAAGTCCACTCGAATTAAGAGTTACTAGTTGTATTAATTAAGGTAAGCTAACTGCTATAAGAGACCATCCCAAGATCTCTGTGGCTTACCACTCTAAAGGTTGACTTTTTTCCTCCTGATACACAGCCAGTGTGGATCAGTGGTCGGGGCTGTGCTCTACCCAGTCATTCAGGGATCTCAGACTCCTTCCAGGTAGGGGCTGTCCTCCCCTTGGACCTTGCAACTCTCCGCTGCATTTTCTTCATCCAGCTAGCAGAAGAGGGAAGAGGGAATAAGGTTGATTTTGTGGGAGGTTTCATGGGCCAGGCCTGGAAGTGGTATACATCACTTCTGCCAACAGCCCATTGTCCAGAACTCAGTCGCTACCACTAACTGCACAGGAGGCCAGTAATGTCGTTAGCTGTGTGCCCAAGAAGAGAGGAAAAACTCCAAGGGAACCGATCATCTGAAAGCGTTCTTCCTTACACATGATAAGTGATTTTATTATAGCCTGCCCTTTATACCGTCCTTAAATGGCATATTTCCTATGGTTGGTTTCCATAGGAGTCGTATTTCCATTGAGTAAAGCAGAGTCCTTTATAAAGATCCTTTGTTGTTGTTGTTGTTGTTTTTCCCCTTTCACTGATTCTACCTCTGATGTATGAGATTTTCTAAACCCTCTAGAACGGTAGCCTAAAGCCAACTATCACTAAACAAGTATCTATAATTAAACTAAGGTATTATTGCCACAGAAGTAGAAAGTGCATAATTACATTATAGAGGAAACTTGCTCTTTCCACTTCTCTGGAATTATAAACATTGTGTACAGCTGGAGCCAGGAGGTGGTTGCCATAACAACCATGGAAAAGCTAAAAATAGCCCCTTTCATACTGTATTGCTTAAGGTGGAATTATGACATGTTATGGTGTTTTAGGGCAGGCAGTTCTCTTTCATGTGGGAAATGTTTGCAAACTTCCTTCAGCAAAGCAGGATTTGTATAATGTATTTGGATTGCTGGTTCTAATTATATGTCTGACCACTCTGTTCCAGGATTCTTTTCTGACATAGAACTGTGTTTGATACGTTTCTCAGTCTTCTTGAGAGTCTGTTAGAGAATTGTCTGTACCAATTTCAGTGTTATATTTAAGCTTAAATTAAAAAAAAAAAAAGTAATGACCCTCCAGGAACCCACTTATGCACTCTCTGATAAGAAATGGAAATAGGAAAAATCATCATGGAGTGTTTTCTGCACAACCTCCCTTACCTGCCATCAAACTCTGTATACAGTTAGCTGCCCACATCGGAGTTGACCCTGCATTCCAGTCCTTCCCAGGTGCACTTGCACCTCCCCATCTCTCTCCCCGGCATCACAGGGCAGTGCTGAGGTTCCCGAGGAAGGCAGAAATCAGTGACTTATTCAAAGGAGACCTATCACTTCCTCTATGACAAAAGTATTTTTACAGAGATGTGACAAGGATACTGCAGCAGTCTGATGGAATAGTGAGGGCATTTATGGGAAAATAAAGGCCTGGCAATTTTTTTTATCCAGGTGACAATTAAGGAAAGTGTTAGGATGGGGTTTCCACAGGTCTGAGGGAATTCTACCAGTGAGCATAGCTATAGGAAGGTATAAATACCAGATACTGAATTTTATAGGGTTGGATGAGTTTACCGTTTGGCTTGTAAGAGGGCTAGTAAATGAAGAGAATATGTTTCTATGAAAAGGTGCTTCCTTATCAGCAGTGGTGTCTTCTGCTTTGTTTTTGCAGTATTTTAGTTCTGGTAGATCCTCAGTAATTTGTACCACTGAGACACCATGGTGTGGCTGTTAGCAAGTAAGCAGTGTGATGAATTAAGAATGTTCTATCACAGAAAATATTACTTGACTTGTTTATTTGGATATTTGTTATAACAGGCTGGGAAGTGTGCTGAAGTATGAGCAACATGAGTCTTCATTATGGAACTTCGGCAAATATTGTTAATGTACCTTCCAATCTTAGAATTATTCCCCAAGTCCCCGGAAAAATGAGAGCTTAACTAAGATTCGGTTTTATGTTTGTTTTCGTGTGCAATTAAGCGCGGCCCATTTTGTCCTTCTGCTTGACATAACAGAGCTGTCATGAGTCCGGCTCTGCCATGGAAACTGGTTTGACGTCACTAATTCTGCTTAGATGGAGGATTAGAGCCAGACAAAGTAGTTGATTTTAAAGACGGGTCCTTTGTGCCTCACAGTCCCAAATGTTCATCCCCATCTCTACATGAAGAATAGATACTGTATACAGTACAAGGATTAAGACAGTTCTACCAGCGTGTTGTTTATGATTCAGACAAAACTAAGTTGAATATTATTATCCTTGGAGAGAAAGAGAATTCTGTGCTGTTGTGTGCATGGGTGTGGGAGGAAGGTTTTTGCTAGACAAATATGTGTGCTTGTTGGTGCAGAGTTTTCGTAGAACGGGTGTTTCTCTGCTGTCATTATGATACAATTATAAATGCTCTCCTTTTATTTCCTCAGGTCTAGGTTGTTCTTGCTTTAGACTTTGTTGGTCTTGGGTTTGTTTAATGTATTCTCGAGTGCAAATACTTTGTTTGAATAACGAAATTCTGACTTGTCACTAATTCCAACTAACTCTACCTCCTAGAAATTTGAATTGGGGTAGAATATTTGAGAAACAAAGATCTTAGTTGCCTCAAGGGGTAAACAATTAAAGGAGCATACCTGCATAATTGTGACATATTTGATTATTGGTCTATTATTTTTGAAAATGGGAAAGAAGTTTTTATTGTCTTTAAATACATTTTCCTGTATTGAAATCATTGATTTGGTGAGTGAAGTTTTAAGAGTGAGTTTTGGTAAGATCAAGATTTCATTTTTAAAATGCATTTGATAACATTAAACTTTAATTTTAAAAGACTTTTAAAATGCATTTCATTTGTGAGGAACGAAATTAAAATGTTAAGATTTTTGTTCAAGGGCACATGTAACCCCCTGCCAATCTGAGTATAATGGAGCACATAATCCTGCTGATAAAACCAGCAGCGATATATTATAGCTTCAGTGAAGAACATTATCATCTACAACTACTCTAAACTAGCTTTTTCTTCATTTGCTCCAAATGAGTGAGGCCATAGCAATTCCTGGTTACGTGAAAAGAGGTTAAAATAAAATGCTACCTAAAGCCACAAGAATGCTTAGGGCTCAGAAAGGGGGTGCAACTTGTCAGGATTTGGGGTTACTTCTCAGAAAGCATTCTGTGTTGCAGAAGATACCATAGCTCTCTTAGCTTTCATGTGATGGGATCTGCTCTAAGCTTAAAGGTGACACCTTATAATATATCATTATTCTCTCTCTCTCTGTCTTTTACAGGTTTATTGAGATATATTTCACATACCATAAAATCCACCCATGTAAAGTATACAATTTGGTGGTTTCCAGTGTGTTCACCAAGTTGTGCCATCATTCCCACAATCTAATTTGAGAACATTTTCAACACCCTAAAAAGATAGAGATATTTTAAACATCATAAATTAATACTCTATTAAAAGTCTCTAGTAACAAAAGTCGCTTTTGTCCATTTTGATCAGAGGAGTTTCTCACAAATACAGATAAAATCGAAATCTTAGATATTCATTCCTAATTACTAGTTTTTGCCTTAGAGTGATTGGGTCCTAACTCCTGATAGACACCCTTACTCCTTTACCAATATTTAAAAACAAAAGGCTTTTCTGTCTCTGAGATACAAGCAAAACGTACAAGAATGATATAATCAATGCATTGACTAAATATTTCCAACTTTCTTTAAACCCCAATATAACATTTTTAAATTTGAGATTTGATTTTGATGACCAAGATTTCACTGCTTAGAACGTGTGTATTACTAGTAAGGACTTGGGTTCAAAAATAATAACAAAAGACAACAACTTGTTTCCAGGGACACAGTAAGCGGAGGGTCCAGACTTCTGTTTGATGGTTGAAATGGCATCTCGCCTAGAGGCTGACAGATGGACTGGGTGACCTTGGGGATTTTTTTTTTTTTTTTTCAGATTTATGTCTAAAATAACTTAGACTCCATTTAATCATGTTTCTTTTGTTATTTTGCCTAAAATGGATCTACATAGTCCTTTTTAAAAAAATACTGAAAAAAAAAGGTCTTGGGGGAGGTAAATTCAGAAAAAGAAGAAGGGGAAGCTGAGTGGAAGCAAAGGAGCCTCACCTGGAGGACAGGAGGTAGGTAGGGTTGCTTGCGGTAGCTGAAGGGGACTGAAACCCCACCCACTACTCCGAGAAGAATGGATTTGAGGAGGGAAGAGTTGGCTCTTAATTCTGTTGAAAATTCCTAAAACCCTAATTCCACACTTTACCCACCTTTATGTGCTTGCTGACAACTATTTATTTATTTATTTATTTATATTTACAGCATTGCTTTCCTCCAGTTAATTTTCATTTATTAGTAAAATGAGTAATTCCTGGTAACTTTCTGACTTCTCGCTTTCAGTAGTCTCCAGAAGTTACAGTAGAAATTGAGCTTGGCCTTTTGGCAAAGAATATGGTTTGATCTCCTGTAGAGTCACAAAATTTTATAGTCCGCTCTTTGTTTTGTGACTGAATATCTACAACCTGGAGGAAGTAGGAGGGCAGAACATAACCATTCACGCATCACCAGGAGGTTTTATTAAGTACCTGTTACATGCTCAGGACTGTGCAGGGGGTTTTGAGGAAAAGTGTAAGACAAGGGCTATGATGTGCAGAAGCTTAGGGTTTTGTTGAGGGAGAAAAACATTTATACATATGCGATGATTAAATGCTACAGCAAGGTAGTATGTGCTGGCAGGCCAAAATAAAGACGTGCAAGGATTATGAGTGTTTCTAAGAGCGAGAATTCTTGGTGATGTGGCCAGAGAAGACCTCCGACAGGAGAGATCAGCTGGAGGAGACTGTAGCTCTGGTCCAGTCATGCCCCGGATTACTAAAACAGAAATGAGCTAATTGCAGACAAGAGCTATTTTTAGTTGATTGAGTTATGCCTCATTCACTGACCAAGGATATCTGTGCTGCTGAAAGGTGAGGGGAGATGTGTGTGTTAGAAAAACAGCTATGTTCTTCTGTTTAAAATAATTCTATGTCACTAATTTACAAGCCATTGTGTCTGTGATTTCCTTCTGTTTACTTGGTGCATTTTCCTTTTTAGATCTAAAGGGGCAATTCTGAACATTTCCTCTGCCAGTGGCATAGCCCCAGTTCCACTGTTGGCCATCTACTCTGCAACCAAGGTGAACACTTTTTTAGTAAATCATGTCAGAATAAGAATGATGAGAAATAGGCATAGAAGCTTCTTGGAGTTCTCTTCTTGGCTGTTTTCAAATGGACTGGGAAGGAAAGGAATGGGGCAGCAAGATCTCAGATCCACAGATACGTTATTCTCCTAGTAGTCAACTGGTTTTAAAACTGATACAGGCATACCTCGGAGTTATTACAGGCTTGGTTCCAGACCTCCACGATAGCATGAATATCAACAATAAAGTAAATCAAATGAGTGGTTTGGTTTTCCGGTGTATATAAAAGTTATGTTTACACTAGGGTCAACGTAAAAAGAAAAAAATTAATGTTCACACTATACTGCAGTCTACTAAGTGTGCAGTAGCATTATGTCTAGAAAAGCAATGTACCTATTTGAATTAAAAAATACTTTATTGCTTAAAACTGCTGTCATCCGAGCTTTCAACATGTGGTAGTCACTGAACACAGATCACCATAACAAATACAATAATAATGAAAAACTTGAAATATTACGAGAATTGCCAAAATATGACACAGAGACAAGAAGTGAGCATATGCTGTTGGAAAAATGGTGTCGATAGACTTGCCTGATGCAGGGCTGCCACAAACCTTCCATTTTGTAAAGAACACCGTCTGTGTGAAGTGAGGTAAGGCAAAATGCAAGGAAACGAGGTATGCCCGATTTTGTGCTTTCCGTAGAGAGCTGGCCTAGGTCAGTTAGCTCTGTTGATAAGAACATGGTGTTAATGATGGGGGATTTGGTTCATGAACGAGTCACCTTTATCCAGCAAAAGTTCCAACTCTGCAGAGCTAAGTGGAAGAATTTGCCACCAGTCAGGACATAAATACACATAGTAGGTGCAAGATAGCCTGGGTGAGAGTGGGAGTATTTTGCCACGTTATTCAGAACTCATTGATCTTTATTGTCACTTCTGGAGTGAGACAAGGATTTTCTAGAACTCTCTGTAAGATGTCATAATTCTATACAATATCACCATTCACCTCTTCACATTACTAGTAGGGAAAATTATTTAGAATACATTTCCTGCTGCCTGCAGGACCATAGCATCTTCTTATCCATTGTTGAGGTATAGGATACATCTCTGAAATGAAAATGACCATTGAGATGCTGAAATTAGGGAAAAATGAGCGAAATATAATAAGACCTTGTGATATGTCAGAGAAGGAGAAGAGCAAAATGCTTGCCTTCTTTTTCACCTGACTCTTTGTCCACTGGAAAAATGTGAACAGTGACTACTGTTTTGAAGAAGTGTGGCACCACGCCCCACTCCTGCCATCTCCTTGCTTCCTGTATCTCTGAAATATACAGGAGGTAGGTTTAAAATGAACACCATGTTTCTTGAAGTGATTGTTGGACTCGAGCTTCTCATCCTGTTTTGCTCCATGGGCACAAGACTATGATTAATTGGGACCCTAGTAGAGTTGTTATTGATACTTTGTATTTTAAGCCTGAGATGGAGTCTATATTTGAAAAATGGTACATTATATTTTACAAATAGATTTAAAATTTTACTATCAGAAGAAGATGGGCTGTCACATTTATCCCTACACTTTTTGGATCTTGCCATCCCAAAGGACGAAGAGGATGTTTGCTCTTTTCTTTACTGACAACAAAATCCCTATAGAGGAGAGTTGAACAGAACTCATATTGTATTTCCATTTGAATGGCAAGTGGGGAGGAGGAACATATCCTTTGTTTTATTATAATACATTTCTTCTTGGAAAGTACTTTTCTGAAAAAAAGAAGAGATAAGACCCTCTTCTGGTTAAGTCAAAATTTGGTCTGAAGATTATATTTGGTAAGAGAATAAAATTTAGTGGCAGATAAAAACAACTTGAGGTTTTGAGGGTTTTTTTTTTAAGGTCTCTTCTGCATTTGAAATAAGAATGATTAAGAACTCCAGTGTTAAATGGTTAGTTTGTTATTTGTGTTGCCATGAGTATAAATCAGGCCGATTGATGTAATGTGTGTGTTTCCTTCTCACTCCCACCCCATCCCAGGCTTTTGTGGATTTCTTCTCTCGGTGCCTCCATGAGGAATATAAGAGCAAGGGCATCTTTGTGCAGGTGAGTGGGTTTGTTTCAATTGCATATCCCTGTTTTTGTGTGGTTTCCACAGCAACTGTTGCCGTCTTGGCAACGAACGAAAATCCCATTCCTAAGGAAGTGAGTGTGACGTCAGCACACCATTAAAGACATGATTTCTTTCTCTTTTATGCACTTAAGTCTAGATTTTAAAAAATTACCCCCTAGAATTCTGAAGTAGGGATACTTAAAGTAGGACTAAGTGCACGGTTTTCTTTCTTACAGTTTTATTTTGAGAAAACTGGGACTATCAGTATCTCTTAGCTGCCAGATGTGTAAGGTATGCTGTGATCTGTTCCCAAAGCCACAGTGTCAGAACCACAAGGGCAGGCAGAGCGTGCATAAAGCCCGCGCTTTCCAGAGCACGGAGGACTGCGTGCACCAGGATGACTTAGGTGTGGTAGCGAGTTTTCGTGTCTTTTTTTTTTTTTTAATTGTGGTAAAAATACGTAACAGAAAACACCATTTAAATCACTTTTAAGTATTCCGTTCAGTGGCATTAAGTACATTCACATTGTTGTGCCACCATCAGCACCATCCCTCTCCAGCACTTTCCCATCTTCCAAAACTGAAACACTGAGTCTATTAAGCAGTAACTCCTCACTTCCCCCTGTCCCAGCCCTGGACACCCTCCATTCTACTTTCTGTCTCTCTGAACCTGACTACTCAAGGGACCCGCTGTGGGTGGAATCCTACAGTCTGGGTCCTTTTGCACGTGGCGTTTTGCACTTGGTGCGACATCTTCACGGTCCACCTATGCTGTACTTTATCACACTTCCCTTCCGCGTGAAGGCTGAGTAGAATTCCATGGTATATATACACTGCATTGTGTTTAGTCATTCATCTGCTGTTCGCTGAAATTAGGTGAGTAGTGCCGCTGTGAACATGAGGTATACACCTATCTTTTTGAGACCCTGCCTTCACTTCTTTTGAATAGGTACACAGAAGAGGAGTTGCTGGGTCAGGTGGCAGCTTTATTTATATATATGTATGTCTGTATCTTTTTTTTTCTTTGAACTGCCTTACTTTTTTCCGTGATGGCTTACCTATTTTGTAGTCCCACAACAACCTACCAGGGTTCCAACTTTTTCATATCTTTACCAATACTTTATTTTGTTTTTTGTTTTTAAATAATAGCTGTCCTAATGGGTGGGAAGTGGTCTGTCATTGGGGTTTTGATTTGCATCTCCCTCATGATTCGTGATGCTAAACACCTTTTCAGCACCTTTTCAGCTGCTTACTGGCCATTTTATATCTTCTTTGGAGAAACATCTGTGCAAAACTTTCACCCTTTTTCATTTTTTAAAAATTTTTTTTAAAGATTTTATTTATTTATTTGACACAGAGAGATATAACGAGAGGGAACACAAGCAGGGGGAGTGGGAGAGGGAGAAGCAGTCTTCCCGCCGAGCAGGGAGCCCGATGTGGGACTCGATCCCAGGACCCTGGGACCATGACCTGAGCCGAAGGCAGACGCTTAACGACTGAGCCACCCAGGCACCCACTTTCACCTTTTTAATTGGGTTGTTAGCTCTTTATTGTTGAATTGTGGGAGTTCTTTATATATTCTGGATATTAACCCTTTATCAGATACATGATTTGCAAATATTTTCTTCTACTCTGTGGGTTGCCTTTTCATTCTATGGATTGTGCCCTTTGATGCACCAAAGTTTTTAATTTTGATGTAGTCAGTTTATCTATTTTTCCTTTTGTTGCCTGTGCTTTTGGTGTCCTATGCAAGAAATCATTGCCAAATCTAATGTCATGAAGCTCTCCCCCTGTTTTCTTTCAAGAGTTTTATAGTTTTGCTTTTACATTTAGGCCTTTGATCCATTTTGACTTAATTTTTGTAGAGACCTTTGCTTTTATTATGTAGCTAACAGACACAATGCTGTGAAAATATAATACCAAATATGAGAGGAAGCAAATGTAGGGATTTTTATGAGTATCTGTCTCAAAGCAGCTCTTATTCAACACAAAGAAATAATGGCTCACAGTGTTTCCCTGCTTAGGCACATTTTTAACGATGTCTTAGGGGAAGTTGCAATGCGTACCCCTTTCCTACTACCACCCACGACCTGCCCCCACTTCTTCACACACCCTGTTGTTCATCATGGCTCTCATTATTGCAAGCCTAGTATTTCAAATTTTGCACCCTGAAGTCCCAGATGATCAGTCATTATAATAGCTAATATTTGAAGGGTTACTTTCCAGGCACAGTGCTAAGCACTTTATATATATCCATTATTTCGTTTTATCTTGTAATGACCTCATAAGGTGGTGTGATTATCATCTTCTGTAAATTTATGGAAATCAGAGTTAGAGAGTTTAAGCCATTTGTCCATGTTGAACCAGGACTCAAATCTGAGGCCGTTTGGCACCAAAGCGTTTGTTTTTAATCACTGGGCTCCTAACTTGAGGCCTTTAGGACAGCACTGAACACATTGGTGCCATCAGTGCTCAGGCAGTTACGGATTCAGCTCCATTTCCTCCCTTGTATCTTTGGACAGTCGAGATGGCCCGAAGCGTTGTCTGGATCTAGCTTCTAACCGCTTATATCCTATGAGTGGAGACTATAGCTAAGTCACCCACAGTGAGAGAGAGTGGTAGGTAAGGGAAGGGTAGGGCCAATGTTTCCTCATCTTCCAGGGCCATCTTAGAGTCTGCTTCCTCAAAGCCCCCTCCTGAGGTCTCGCCCATGTCGTCCTTAGATGTCATAGCCCTTTGACGTTATTCTGATTTGCAGCTTCCCATTAATACATAGGGTACATTGGGGAGGAAGACAGGGTTTTCGAGAATCCTGAATTTTACACTGAACTACCGTACTCCCCCTTCTCTCCTTGACCCTGTCTTTTTAATGCTAGTAGCTGAAATCTGCTGTGTAGAACATGGTGTATTTTGGTGACAAGGAGCCAGTAAAGCATTGAGGGGATGTGAGGTATCACGTGCCACACAGTGTCGTGCCATTTCTGTTGTAATCAAGTTATTAATTTCAAAATTTTTAAACACCTACTGAGATTAAGCAGGAATCTCACAGATCCATCAGTGGGTGACCTACAGGCAGCATGGCCAGAAGCTGCAAGTGCTTGAATGACAAAAGGGAGTATTACACTCTGAGCACAGACGAGCGATTTCTGAAATTCTCTGAACAGGCAAGACCGTCTCCTCTCTCATTCCCACAGCTTGTTTCCCTCAAAGATCTTTTCTCCATATTCTCTGCCTATTAGCCTGGCGTGACTAGAAACTACGACAAAAACATACTAGCAATTTGTTTTTTGAAATGTTTAACTTTGATAAACTTGTTTTTCCCCAATAATGACTTCTCAATTATGTAATTTCATTGATCATTGTCTTCCTTCAAGTGAATTCATTCAAGGTTTAAATGTAGCGTGAATTTGGCAAAAAATAAAAATAAAAGCTCACATGTTTGTGAAGGAAAGTACGGCTATCATTTCTGTGTGAACACATCAGAATGCTGAAGTAGAATACAATGTCATACTAGTTCTGATCAAAGGGACAGAAACGGCTGGCCTAAATAAAGCTCAGTTAAAAATTACTGGTTTTTCTTTGGTGGTGGTTTATGTCTGCCTGTTTTTTTGGGCCAGGAGTTATTTATTGGCAATTTTCTTTTCCACTCTATCCCCCATGCTGTTTCCTGGGTGATCTTGCTAAAATCCAAGTCAGGTAATGTTGCTTTCCTTCATAGTCCTCCAGTGGCTGCCTGCGGTGTTTAGGATTGAATTCCGACTCCACAAGGCCATCGCCTCTCTAGCCACCCCGTCGTCCCTCCCTGCGTCAGGCCGGAGTGGACCTGTGGTGGCCAGGACATGCTCTGCCCTCGCAGACTGGCTTCTAGGCTGGCACGCCTTTCCCCTCTGCTCCCCACTCCCTGTCTCCCCACCCCATTCGTGCCTGAGCCTGTGACCCATCTGTCTTTCAAGGCTCAGGCCACACTTTACCTCTGCTGGGAAACCGAATCTCAGCCACGTGATGTGCCTTTCCTTCTGCTCTCCTCTTTCTGGTTATATACCTTGGTCTGATACTCTCTGGCTCCCCTGCTTCCCCCCACTTCAACACGTTCTTGAGATCTGGATTTTTTTTAATCTTGATTGTCTCTGTGTTGCTAGGGACACATGTAATTTGGGTAGGGACCTGCCTTTTGCTTGGTATCAGGGAAGACTCTGGTTATGCACGGCCACACTTTATGGTACACAGACATGCATTGTAAAGGCCCCTTGAGCTTCTTCTCTTGCTCCCATAGGCCTCTGGTCTTGAATTCTCAACCTCTGTATCTAGAGGGCTTCCAGGCTAATGCTGTGTCGCCACATTTCAGTTTCTTCTAATCCTTGGAAGGAAAGCTATCTTTTTAGGTCTCCCTTCATGTGAATGTATATCAGATTGCTCTTTGGGGAGAAAAAGAGAGGGTTTTTTGAATTTAGGTTGTTTTATCTTTCCATCTTTCCCTCAACTTCTTTCCTATAATTTTGTGAGAGCATTTAAAATTTCCTTCATGAATTCAGATTTGCCATGAAATAAGCATTTTGTGGAAATGCAAATGAACAGTTGAGACAGCTAATGAAAAAAAAAGGTGAATTTTGGATCTGATAAATTCTGTTCATTATGTTTGAATTGAGGGTAAGAAGTTCATTCTTGAGTAAGCCTTATCTTGTGTTGGTATGTTGGTGAGAACTGTCTGTTCTCATTACTGCCCTATGATTAAAGCCCGGTCAGAATTATGCTTAACTCTTTCAAAGGGCAAAATCATAAGTGATCCGACTGGCTAGGTGGTGGGCCCCAGTACCACCTCCTTCAGTATGCCACAGACCAACTAGCCATGAATGCTGAAAAAGTATAAGAAATAGCTAAGACTAAGCCATCTTCTTGAAATTACACTTCCTGAACTCTTATTCTGTGAAACCTTCAGAAGCCGCCTTGTTTTTTAAAAACTCTTCATTTGGAAATAACTTCAAATCTACAGAAAAGCTGTAAGAATAAGAACATACAAAGAACATTCTCGTGCCTTTTACCCAGATTCACTTCATGTTATGCAGCTTACTTCATTTGCTTTATTATTGAAAGGTAAGTTGCACACATGGTTCTTTACCTCTAAATACTTCCGTGTGCACTGCCAAAGGTTAAGGATATTCTCTTATGTAGCCACAACATAGTTATCAACTTCAGAGTTAACACTGATATAATATTTTTATCTCATTTACTGTCTGTATTTCTGTTTTTGACTCCATAATATTCCTTATGGCATTTTTTATTCTCCAGTAAATAATTCATTCTAGGATCAGGTACTCTATAGAGTTGTCCCGTCCCTTTAGTTTCCTCTAATCTGGAATATATCCACAGCCTTTCATTGTTTTTATGACACTGACATTTTTAAAGAGCAGAGTACACATCCTGCTCTTTTTGATTGAACACTGCTTGTCTGGGGTTTTTCTGATGCTTCCTCCTGGTTAAATTCACATTATGCTCTCCTGGCCAAAATGGCACACATGGTTTTATATCTTTCTCAGGGCATCATATCCAGAGACACACGATATCCATCTGCCCTTCATTGCTGATGTTGATTTGGTTGCTTCATTCAAGGTGTTACCCAGTTTCTCTGCTGTATAGTTACTGTCTTTCCCCCTTTGCATGACTAAGCAATCTGTGGGGAGGCACTTTAAGATCAGGCAGATATTCTGCCTCCATATCAGTTTAGTTTTCCCTAGGTTTAGCATCCTGTGATGATTCCTCACAAACCTGCCTTATGAAGAGGTTTTTGATGCTAAAGAATTCATGAAGCCCTGCCTGGCTAGTTGGTCATTTCAAAGCAAGAAGTCACAGCTTCCTCAATCCAGGCCATGGTTTTATGCAGACCACATTTGTCACTGGTATGCTTAGGGGCAGTGAGGAAGGGACGCTGGGCTTGGCGTCAGCAAACCAAGGTTTTAGTTCTGATATCACCCAGTCAGTGGTCATCTGACCTACAGAAAGCCGCTTCATTACTTTGAGCCCTAGTCTCCCCTTCTGGCAAGTGGGCGCAAATGATGGGGCAGATATAAGAACACCAGAAACTGAATTGATATGAAAGTGTGAAGAAGAGAGGAAAGAAACTTGCACTTATCGAATATGTACAATACGTTCCATGTTTCCCACTATTTTGTTACCTTATTTGAGATAGACCTCAACCTAGTTCCATCTTACAGACAGGAAACAAAGAAGCGATAGAAGTTGTATAACTTGTGTAAGGTCAGTCCAGTGTGTCAGACGACAAATGCCTGCTGCTTGCCAGGTCCTTAGCGAGGCAGGGAGGTAACAAAGGTGAGTAAGACACCATCCTTGTCCTCAAGGCACACACAGAAAGAGAAGACAGATATTTAAACACATTACAAAGACAAGGGATGTTAAGTCCAAAACTAGAGGTATATATCATGCACCACATTTCTTCAATCCAGACATATTTAGAGGGTACCTAGTAGTCTGGTACCTGGGGATACAGTGGCAAAAAGACAGACAGAGACAGATGGATGTGGTAGAAACTTATGTTTAATGGGGAGACAATAAACAAGTAAACAGATACACGAATGAGATGACAGTATACAGTGATAAGCGCTATGAAGAAATTGGAGGAGGGTGATGTGTTCAAGAATGTGGGAAAGTATGGGGAATTTACCCATCTCTGGATTTGTAACCTGGGTTTGAATAACTCCGAAGTCTGCATTCTTTCTGTTTCACACGGAGGTGTTTCTCTGCACCATACAGTTTTCTTCCTTGGAGCTGGGAAACCAAGTGTCTGGAAATGCTATCAATGAGATCATTTGCTAACTGAAACCATCCGTTAGGGTTTAGTTTATCTGACTCTTTACCAGAGGACAGATGAGGACATAGGTCAAGACCACGAAACCCAGAGAAGGTGGTTGTAGGTTTCAGCTGGCCTGAAAATGAAATGGGTTTTCTCATTTTTAGTGTGAGATTGCAGAAGAATACTCCATTTAGATGTGAACTTACTGTAATGGGGACATTCACTGGGGCCCCTTCTCTTAAGTTACCACCTTCCAGTGCTTTGGTCCTCTTGGGTGATGAGAGATGATGGTTTTGTTAATTCAGCTAAATGCAGTTTTTAATCAGAATAAATCTAGAAAATAAAGAGGACACATTGAGATGAGGGAGAAAACAAAATTCAAGGTTTTTTTTAACCAAAAGAAGATATTCCTGTTTTATATTTTGTTAAATATTTTATAGCTTAGAATAATCATGGAGATCTTTTGGGCTTCAAAGAGCTAGAAAGCTAACTATTGAAAAGTGACTATCAGGGTTGAAAACGGAATTCTTCATCCACTCTTCTTGTTAATTGCCAATGCCAACAAAAGAAGGTAATGGAGTGTGTCTTTCTTAGTGCAGATGGAATCTAAGTAGAACTATAAAGCAATATGATTCTCCCAGGAAATAATCATATCTGGTCAACTGCACCAACTTTGAGAAATGGCTTAAGAATAGTAATGTTCGTCCTGTTGGGGATCATTGGACTCTGATCGCTTCCAGCCATGTGAATCTCCATGTTTGTCATTGATAACATCTATTTCGCCTGGCCCTTTACAACAGTGTTGCACCACAAGAACTAAAAGACTTCAGGGGTAATAATTGTAAGATGTCAGAGTAAGTCCAGAAAGAACTAACATAGCCCGGTGGTTACCTCAGGAGTCACTCTGTAAATATGGTGTTCTTCCACTTTTTACAAAATATAAAAATTCGGCCAAGTTTTTCTTTCTAAATTTATTCTGAAAAATATAAATATTATAAACCTTAGAAAATACTAGAGTTCAAATCCCACACACTTTAACCGACAGTTATTTTATTTAATCCTCGTAATAGTACAGTAAGAAGGATGCTATATCTCCCAGTTGCAGAGGAAAAAGCTAAAGCTCAGTATTTTGGTCAAGGTCAGACAACTAGTAAGTGGTCAAGTCCACCTGATTTCAAAACTGACATTCCCCCACCTCAACACCCTACTACCTCTTTCTCTCATACCCCAAATTCAGTGCATTGGGAAATCTTGTTGACTTCAGTATCCTTTTTTTTTTTAATTTTTTAAAGATTTTATTTATTTATTTGACAGAGAGAGACACAGTGAGGAGGGAACACAAGCAGGGGGAGTGGGAGAGGGAGAAGCAGGCTTCCCGCCGAGCAGGGAGCCCGATGTGGGGCTCGATCCCAGGACCCTGGGATCATGACCTGAGCTGAAGGCAGACGCTTAATGACTGAGCCACCCAGGCGCCCCGACTTCAGTATCCTTTAAACATATCCACTATCTGACCACTTTTTGGGACCACCGCTGCTACCACTAATTTAAGCCATCATGATCACGTGCTCTGAACATTTTGCAGTACCTTCCTACCCAGCCTCCCCTCCTCCCATCCTTGCCTATAGCCCCCACAGTCTGCTCCCAACAGTCAGAGTGATCGCTTTAAAGCTAAATCCAGGTCATTTCACTTCTCTACTCAAAAATTCTCCTGTGGCTTTTAATTTCTTTCAGAGTAGAATCATGAGTTCTTATGACCTACCGTGTTCTGATTTCAAACATTCCACATTATCTCTCATCCCCTGCTATTTCTCTGGCTTCCTTGCAGTTCCTCAAACACTTCAAGCACATGTCTACCTCAGGGCCTTCGCACTTCCTGTTCTTTCAGTCGAAAAGGATCTTTACCCAGATAGCTTTTGTGCTAGCTCTCTCCCTTCATTGAAATCTTTGCTGTATGTCACCACATCAGAGAGGCCTTTCTTGGTCACCTGCAGGAACAGCTTCTGTCACCTCTGTCCTTAGTCAGGCTTACTTTTCTTTTTTCCTTTTTATCATCACCTCCCAATGTAGTATCATTTTTTACTACTTGTTTGTAGTCTTTGTGTCCTACCCTCACCCCAGATATAAGGTCTAGAAGATTAGGGACTTTGCTTCTGTTCACAACTGTATTCCACCGCTAACAGCAGTGTCCTAGTAGGTGCTCAGGTAATGTTTGTTGTTAAGCAAATGTTTTGTGTGTGTGTGTGTGTGATATTACGCAGTTTTTCCTTTTGTTATGTGAATGTTTAACATATAAATTCCACATATTTGGAGGTAGGTCATTTGTGAGATTATCAGCCAGTCAGTTTTTATCAAGGATTTTCTTTGTACAGAACATACGACGTTTTTACTCCTTTATTTGGGGCTTAGGTGTTAAGGCTTATACGTAATGTTACTGTGGGGCCTTTGCTCAATGCCATGTCATCAGGGCTCTCTGCCCCATCAGAGTGATGAGATAAGCAAGAGCCCTTTTGTGGAAATGCTCATCTGATGGCCTGCAAGTAAAGTAACACCAGCTACCCAAACTAGGATCTGTGTATGTAGTTACAGGTCCTCCGGAGGATATCAGATCCTGAAATGGAAGATGAATAGACAGATATAAGGAGAAAATGTTCTCTAAAATGCCTCCTCAGAGCCACAGCTTCTGCCTTAAGAATGTGTGCCTGTCACATTGGTGAACTTGATGCTCACAAAAGGCAGATCGGACATCGTGCCCAGAATTCCATACTGTGCAAATGGACTAGAGTCTGGTGTCTGCTGGATCCACGTTTTCCAAAGCCTGGTTGTGAGTTGTTCTGGTCATTTTTAAATTCAAGAAGGCATGTTTAGTACAGGTGACAACAGGAGAGATGCTCAACCACCCGAAGTTACAAGGTTCAGTATCTGATTCTTGAATACCTGCCAAGCAGTGTTGGGCATCCATCTTTCCAGTACTCCATGACATTAAGTTACGGTAGCCTTCCTGTTCTGAGTCAGGCCCCCTCACTTGTTTTGTAAGGACCAGATTACCTAAGCAAGCTACTCCAGTCGGGGGGGCGGGGGGGGGGGAGATACCACGCTGTCTCCAGGGATTTGTTTTTTAAAAAACATGTTGAGGGGCATCTGGGTGGCTTAGTCAGTTAGACGTCTGCCTTCGGCTCAGGTCATGATCCCAGGGTCCTGGGATCGAGCCCCTCATCGGGCTCCCTGCTCAGCGGGGAGCCTGCTTCTCCCTCTGCCTGCCACTCCCCCTGCTTGTCTCTTGCTCTCTCTCAAATAAAAAAAAAAATCTTAAAAAATAAATAAAATGAAAATGAAAAAACAGGCTGAATAAGGACAAAACAACAGCTTTGCTTTATGGCCTAATTGTTTTCACTTAAGGATTCTAAATTGGAAGATCAGGGCACTTGTCTGCACCTGTGGCTGAGGAGACCCAGGTTGTTTCCAGGCGGAAATCTTTATAATGGCAAAATTTTGAGCTTAAGCAACTTGTAAAATTTGTTCTGCCCAAAATACTTCCTGTAGAAGGGTGAATATCTTCTCAACCTGTTCATTGTAATGTTTCCATGAGTGGCAGGAGAATGGATCAATTTAATTATTGTTTATTGTGTTTTTGGTGAACTCTTTAAGGATGTACCTAGATGACACTTTGAGGTACATTTCTTTACTTTTACACATAATTTAAAATACTCCTTTTTAAATTCTTGGCAAGTAGTTAGGCCTATAAGTTTGTCTTAGTTTAGATATATGATCTTGCTTAAGCTTCAGAATATCTAAAGTTTTGGTTTAAACTCTTATTACATTGTCAACTTCCTGGTGTAATTAATTTTCTGGACTGCAGTGGTGGAAGGGGGCCCCAGTACAATTCTTCACTGCCGTGCATACTGAGGAGTTCTGTTGCTAAGTCACTCGGCAGATCTGTGCGTCCCTCCTGTGTGCTAGGTGCTGCTCTGAGCATTGGCCATATGGTGGTGAATAAGACCATGTTCGCATAGAGCTGATACTCTCGGAATCTCTACTGTCGAGTGATTGGGTTTAGTTTTCTGTTCCATTTAGCTTTCCTCCGGCCGCTACTCCACACATTTCTGACACCTGAACCATACTGAACAGCTTGTAGTTGCCTGAGAACCTCATGCTCTCTCTCCTTTCCTTTGCTCCTACTATTCTCATTACCCAAAATGTTCTTACCTTGTTTGTTTACCTGGCAAAGTCCTCCACTTTATTTAAGACTTCGCTCTAAACTTATTTTGTCTCTGAATCCTTTGCCTCTTCTGCTAGGCCATGTTAACTGCCATTACCGGAAATAAATACCCTTTCCAGAACAGAATTTACATTTCTTCGTTGGAAAAAAAATAGCTTGACTTGGGATTCCTAGGCATGTGTCTCTTGCCTCCACTTCCTGAGCTAGGTGGTTCCCTAGGCTATCTGGATGGTTTAGCTGAATGGTGAGTGAACTTGTGGCACCATCAAGTGGTTCAGCCAGGCAGTGCCACTTAATTCTTCCGCAAGATCCAAATAGTCCAATTTATGCCATATATCTACAGAGAGAGGGAGGGTGATAATATCATTGTATAATTGGAAGGTATAATTATCAGACCATCTTCATCCTGAGACACTCAGAACTTGACAGAACCCTCAGCAGGCTTGTGATCCATAGATGGAAATGGGTTTTTAAATCTTCACTTTTTTGTAACCAGGAAACCTGAGACAGAGATGTGACACAGCTTGCTTGTGTCCTTTCATTACTCGAGATAGTGCATATGCATATGCTTTCTTTTGCTTTGTTTGCCACTCAGCTTGGTAAACAGTTTTCTTTCCTTATGCATTGTTAGAGTCTTGGTGAATTCTTCTTTTCATACTGTATCCTTGCTGCAATGTGGCTTTAAAATTAAAGACCTTTGGGGCACCTGGGTGGCTTAGTCAATTAAGTGTCTGCCTTCAGCTCAGGTCATGATCTCAGGGTCCTGGGATCGAGCCCCGCATTGGGCTCTCTGCTCAGCGGGGAGTCTCTTCTCCCTCTCACTCTCCTTCTGTGTTCTCTCTCTCAAATAAATAAATAAACATCTTTAAAAAAATTAAATTAAAGACCTTTTTGACAAAGTATTTTGCTCAGTAAGTGGGGGATACATGGATAGGGATAAATTCTCAAAAACCAAGAGTCACCTAATCACAGGTGGCTCAGGTATTGAGGTACTTGGGGGACGTTAGTTAACTTAGTGTGGGTTTCCGGCTGCAGGCACATAAGAGAAAGATGGAGAAGAGACCGTGCTTAGGCCCTTGGGTCCTTGGTTCTTACCAGGCGGGCTGAACTTTGAGCTCCCATGTTAAGGAGGGTGGGTTGTATTCCTTGACTCATACTTGGGAGTGGGAAAAATTCAAAAACCAAACAACCAAACAAACAAAAACCCCAAAGAGACATGGGAATATTCCTTCCAGCTCTCGGCAGGAAGGAAGTGCCTAGTCTGGAACACATCTCAATTTTATTTCTACCTGTAGTGAAGTTTTTGATTTTGATCACCAGGTATTCAATCCTCTTCTTCTTTATTTATTTATTTATTTACTTATTTATTTATTTTTTAATTTATGTATTTGAAGAGAGACACACAGAAAGAGAGGGAACACAAGCAGGGGGAGTGGGAGAGGGAGCAGCAGGCTTCCCGCCGAGCAGGGAGCCCGATGTGAGGCTTGATCCCAGGACTCTGGGATCACGAGCCAAGCTGAAGGCAGACGCTTAACGACTGAGCCAGCCAGGCGCCCTTAATCCTCTTCTTTAACAGAAGTATCACTGTCGTTGATACCCTTTCCTCTCATGCACACACGATAAATAGAATACATTCACTCTTTGGAGAACAACCAAGCCCAAGTTATTTCAAACTATAGAAGGAACCTCTGGTGTCATGACTGGGGACCCGTTGTAATAGCGTCTCCTTGTGTTCTATGTTGAATCCTATCCAAATGTGT